TTTTAATGGTCTTGGAAGCTCTTTTACCATTTCACCCGGCTCGTTCCAATAGTTAACGGCATTTCCGCGAGTAAATTCCTGGCCATCTCTGTATTGATTTACACACGTAGTGAAAGAAATGCCAAGGCCAATTAGCCTTGACTCCATTCGATTCAATTCAGCCAGTTCAGTTGGAACAGCTCTTATTCTAAAGCCACTACTTCGGCAAAATTTGGGTGTTTTCCGTGCCAACAGAGATCTGTTACATCTGTCACATAGCCATATCATTGTCTTGTCTTCACTAGCTACAAGCCCTTCACGAACACTTTCATTACAGTCATCGCTTACAAGGCCTTCAGGAATGATTTCGCACTCTCCATCGGCATTACACAGAGGAGAAAAAAAAAATAGATTTCGGATCGTATAGTTTCAACTTTGAGTTGTTTGCATTGCCGAGTTCACCACAGCTTCCGCACACCCGAAACAATGGCGCGTCGATGGCATCGAAGAAATCTGCCAGACAATGAAATACACAGGTTTTAGAAACCTGCAGGAAAACCTTATTGTATTAGCACTTACCTTGCTTGTCAAATTCAAAGCTGGCAGCCTCATTAGCATCAGCATGGCTGTCTTTCCGCTTCCGACGCTTGCTTTGTGGGATATTCTGAGACTCTTCGTTCCTCCTCTTGGTTTCTTCACCACGTGTTAACCGCGCCTTCATGTGCTCAGCTTCTAACCCGTCGAGGGTTTCCGAGTGTTGAGTTGGTTCGTGTGGTTGTGTAGCCCGTGTACGAATGGCCACACGACGTATAACTCGAAGAGCAGCTCTGGCTTCCTTGGCTGCTTTCACAGATCGTATCGGATTCAATGCACGCACCATCGTGGTGCAAGTTGTGTAATGACTTCGAGTTTAAAAGAGAACAGACAACTTCGGTGGTGTTCGTTGAAGTGATCCTCACAGCCAGCCTCAACGTTAGAATCTTCCTTAAGGGTCGGCACGTATGGTACGCACACGATTCCATATTCGGTAGTTAATTTACATTTGCCCATCTTCAAAAAGGTAGCTTCTTCTTAATCTTAACTATGTTACGAGTCTTTAACTATTTTCTAGATCTCCTCCATTATCCTAGAAAAAAATCCATCTACTTGCGGTCGTCAAGGATGCGTCGATAGTTTAAGTGGGCGGTCAATGCATCTAAGCGATGCGTTTAGAACTTCCATTAATAGTAGATTCCACTGATGCCACTTCGCCATCAACGTACCCATTGGCGGATTTCAACGAAAGAACGTACTGCCTAGTATTCGATGTCCATCATTAATACCTGAATCTTAGCCCATGATGTGAGCTGCATACGACGCCCACGAATAATTCTTCTAGCAATCCACCTGTCCCACTTAAACTAACAAGCGATGATGCGTTTGATCATCGTTTAGCCATTGAGTTCTGTGATGTTACTGTACCTTCAACGTATCTATTAGTTGATCCAACGAAAGAACGTATCCGAAGAAACACTTGTCATATTTCCAGAAGTCACTATCACAAGCGCTTTGTTCATTACTTTAAATTTTAATCGTGTTGTCCACTTACATAGTGAAGGTTTGACTGCCCTGCACGTGATGTCTACCATTTTACCTTAACACGGAGCCTACGAAGTATAAAAAATACGACGAAACTACGTAATATCCTACGATCATTACATATCTACGGCTATCGCACTTTATCCTTGTTTCTAGATCTAGATCGCAAACTTTCACCAACAGCAACGTACCACAACGCACGCACCTCGCCGCGCATCTAGATACACACTCATCTTCAACTCATCCACTTAAAATCTTGTTATCCTACAAACGTTAAAGATCTGCTTCGCGCCTCTATTGCATACAAATCTTACACAATTTACAGCTCAACTGTTGAATACTCTGTCTTAAGCAGTCATTATCTACCTCATTCGTTAGTATGCTGCATGTTAACACCTTTGCAATAATACCAGGTTGAGCTCTTATTCTTTAGCCTTCGAGCGCCTACACACATCTCACTAAGTATTTTTTTTCTAGATCTGCTTCTAATAGATATGCTTCCCAAACTGTCCATCGGCGCATCACGCCACGACTGTGGTTGATCCTCCCTACGTCCATCTCCACATCTTTCAACAGGCTGATCCACAGTTACTGTAACATCTCCAATTTGTAGAAATATTTTTTACAAGTATTTTTTTATTATTATTCAAAATGACTGGAAGAATACCGCTTCAACCATACCTGCTGAACCAGCAACACGGACCACACATTTCTCTGCGTCTTCATCGTTAACGCCATTGCGTCTTTGCTGTCGGCCAAATTGATCCCTACAACTACGGCGAGACCTCTGTCACATCCATCCGTTTCTTGAGTGGAGGCGCAATCTCTCGGACCTTATTCAAATTACCGTGTTCAAACTGCACACTGCCCTTCGCTACATCATCGTACAGTCCGACATACTCCACGTGATGAAAAATGTACATGCCTCCCACATGAAAGACGATGATTGAGTCGCCAGCGAAAGCGTCTGACCTCTTTGAATCCCAAACAGTCACCTGCACCACGTCGTGCTTGTCTAGATAATCTACACAACCTCTGGCAATGTCCAAGGCTGCATTGACTTCCACACACTTCCTTCCGTCCACCAAGACTACGCGGGTCGCGTTGGTACCTTCAAGACGCTCAACGTGAACGCAACACATTTTCAGCGTCACACAGACATCAACTGTAGGGCATGTCGTTGTGATGAACTCACGGAAGTCTCTCACACTTGAAAACAGGTTGACAGCTTCTTCTTCCATTTGTTTCAGCACAGCTCGACGAATGGAATCTAGCAAATTCATTGTGACTCGACGCGACGAATTCGAAACTGAGAGCAGCAAAACCAAACAGTATAAATCAATTTAAACTTTCACCATCCGCTTTCAATAAGACACTTTACCAAGCTCCACAAATATTGCGTGTTATACACAACACGTCACCGTGATAGCAAGCTCACCATTGCCCGCTCTTCGGCGGCATTACTAGTCACATACCTCCATAATATATTCTCTAGTGCGTCAGTCAATTCCACCAGCCCACAAACCACCACT